ATTTTTAATTAATTAGATTTCAAAAAAAAAAAAAATCAAAAAAAAAAAAAATACTAACTCAAACTATTAAGATAAATTTCCAAATTTTACAGTATGAAGGATCTTACATGCATGAGATAATCCAAGATAATCGTATCGTGCTATTGCTATCAATCCATTACTTAATAGTCACTCATACTCAGGGTATTATTTTTTTATTTTTTTTCCGGTATAATCGATCTTCTTGAGTGTAAAAGTCTTTTGCTCTCCCAATAAAGTGCGGAACACGTTTTTTGAGAATCAAATTTGTATTCTTATTTTTTCGAGGGTTGAAGTCGATTATCACTTTAATTAACACATTGTTAATGGTATTTATTTAATAAATTTAATAACGAACAATTAAAGAAAAAAAAAGATTATAAATGTCTTTTTAATAAAAAATAAAATAACAATAAGGCTAACCAAATGTATAGTTTATTTAATTTTTCTTATAACGGTGAGCAAAATGAATTCGGAGTCTTTTCAATTAGAAAAGTCTTTGCTAATTATTATGAAATTGTAAAGATATTTGTACCGTAACTCATGACTGAATGGAGTAAAGTTTATATCATATATAACTAAATAGTGGGCCAAAATAGTAAATATAATATTGTAAAGATAGGTCAATCTGGTTGAAAAGAAACGACGGAAGGAACAATTGAACATATACATAGAGAAGGGGACGTGGGTCTTTGTTAAAGTTTAGTCAAAGTTTATATATTTTTGGTTAATTGTTAATAGTGTTAGTCAAAGTGTTACTATATTTTTTGGTAAAAAATTATCTCTATATGTTAAAGGCCACAAAAGAGTATTTGGTAGACCCATTTTTTTTCGTCTTCCCCAACATTCTTTGTAATTTATTGTTTTGTTTTTCAATTAAAATTATAAAGGCATTTTTTAAGGGTTTCTTAGAGGGAAAAATGTCATGGTTAAATTAGAAGAATATAACCAAAATAACAATAAAAACGAATGTAGCAATGATAATAAAAGAGGAGAGAGAGAGAGATGAAGAGGAAGAAGAAATGGAGCTCTAAGATGAAGAGTTTTTTTTAAATAAAATTTTTCATTGTTCTGGGGCAATTCAAAGAAAATAAGTAAAGAGAACCATGTATTGTTATTGGTCCAAAGAAAAATGCAAATCAATCTTTGAAGGCAAAATTGAAACTTCTCATTTTTAAGAACTTTAATATATGTTTTCTGACATTACATAAGCTTATTATAAACTCTTTAATAAATTTTTTTTTAATTTTATATTAACCATAGGGTACCCCACAACCTATTATTAATAACTTAACCAAATTTACCATCACAGGCGGAATACCGTCGTCCACTAATCATCGGTCTCCATTGAACATCTTTCATAAATTTAACTTTTTTCTTGTATTTCTTTGCTCAATATTTTAATTAACTAAAATTTTAAAACCATAGCGCAAATTTTCTATTACTATTATTAATATTTTTTATGGTCTTTTATGAGTTAAAATTTTGAATATTTTTTTAACACTAATTTTCTAAATATTCATTTTAAGGCATTTTCTATTACTATTATTAATATTTTTATGGTCTTATGAGTTAAAATTTTAATATTTTTAACTAATTTTTAATATTACAACCAAATAACGAAAAAAAAATCATTTAAAAAATATTTTTTAAGAAAAAATATCGTGTCTTCCGAAAATAAATATAACTTAAGTCGTTATGTCTTTTCTTTCTCCTTCCATATAGACGTATAAAATATTTCCTTCAATTTTCTTTTTTGAATAGTGCAATAATGGGGTTCATATAGGACTTATGAAGTTATGAGAAGGAAACTTCGGAAAGTCAAGTCAACGCTGGGGGAGAGAGAGAGAGAGAGAATGAGTTTGGCCAGTCAAGTCCAAGAAACAGAGTGTAAAAGTATTTAGGCTACTTTCTGCCGTTGGATCAAATATAAATCCACAGTTTTCGGATTAGAACAAGACCGACCACTTTTGCCCAATTATTACTATTAAGTAGTAATTGTTTGTTTTGATATATTACTATTGTCCTTATCGCTCTTTGTAATTTGCATTAGTTTCTACTCACCTCTATTAATAGTAATAATCAATATTATTCTTCTTCTTCATTGATTTTCAATTTTCTACTTACTCTTCATTATTTGGACAAACACTATGAGCCGTTGGATTACATTTCAATTGCATGTGATCCATTTTTGGAATGGCTTAGGAGTAGCTGCTATTTGCTGCTATCAGTAATCAATAGCCAGAGTATCATTACTTCCGGATATATTGGGATAGGACTTGCCTTTCCATATATTAAATCAATCCACGAATGTTTTTTTTTAATTATTATTATTTTATTTTTTTTTTCCTCTAATAAATTATTAAAAATATTTTACTTTCAATGAAAATTAGACTTGATCTGGAATGGACACACCACGTATAAACCATATACAAACGACAAATTAATTAGCGTATAGCAAGAGGCGAGCACGTACGTATTGACTTTTTTTTTGAAGGAAAAGAAAGACTTGGCAATTGGCATAACTCGTTAACCAATTAATCCTCGAGCTCGATGTTCCACCCAGTCTCAACATCAGTCAGCTGACTAACCGTCCAATTGCTAGTTGGCGTCTCGTTCGGGCCAAGGAAAAGACTATACGGCATTGGAATAAACATGCACACTACTCAATCACATTAATTTCTTGGTTCCTGCGTCTGTGAAATCCGAATGACTGATTGGTGCATTTACTTTGACTTCTCCTTTCGCAATTTTATTTGTGAAAATACTTTGGAAATTTCTACAGCTACCTCATTCTATGCTTTTCTTGTTAATTATATTGGCTAACTTCTAACTATGACATCTTGCATAGTTCATATGAATATGGACATGCAGATGTTTGTGGTTTTATTCATTAAGAGCTCCATGATCAAAGCATTAATATAAAAGGAGGAATCTCATTTCATATTTGAAGACGTGGAAAATACTATTGGAAATTTCTAACACAGCTATCCTTCATTTGCCCAAGTCTATTATGCAATATTCTCTTTCCTGTCCTGTAACATGCTTTTCTTTGTTAATATATATTGGCTAACTTCTAACTAATGACATCTTGCATAGTTATCATATTTTTTGGAGCGCCATAGTATATGGCATGGCAGATGTTTTGTTTGGTCCTTCTATAGAAACATTTCATTAGATAAGTGACATGATCCGTATTGTATCATTATTGCGCATTAAATAAGGAGCGTATAATATGGACATGCAGATGTTTGTGGTTTTATTCATTAAGAGCTCCATGATCAAAGCATTAATATAAAAGGAGGAATCTCATTTCATATTTGAAGACCAGCACAAGAATTTGCGGACCCTTGCTAATGTATGAGCAGCGGAGTTGGATTGTCTTCGAATCCAATCCAAGCAACATTAAGATTGTTGCATGAAGAACACAACACTACACAATGTGCAGCAACAGCCCAAGTATAACATATTCCCTTCAATTTTCTTTTTTGACTATTGTAATAATGGTGTTCATATTGTGTCTTTCTTCCCCTTTTCCTCCCTCTTTCCATGAATAAATACAAAAATTAATATTCACTATATTTTTTTTGCCCATTAAAATTATGGGACCCATAAGTATATATATTAATTATTAATTTGTTAAAGTAAATTTATATAATAAGTTACCTATCATACAATTTATCATTTATATATTCATAAGTTACCTACTCATACAATTTAATGACATTTCAAATGGATCAAGTGTTTAAAATTATGGGACCCATAAGTATATATATTAATTATTAATTTGTTAAAGTAAATTTATATAATAAGTTACCTATCATACAATTTATCATTTCAAATGATAGTTTTAACATGTATAATGTGCAGTAATTATATTTTGATTATCTAAACATTAACGACATTAACGGTGAATCCTTTGATTTTTAAGTAACTAAATAGATTAATTAATAATATAGTATTTTTTATGCTTGAAATATTTCTTGAAAATTTCAAATTATGACCAAGAGTTACGTAATTATCTAATTGTGATTTAAAAAAATTATTAAATTATGATTGTCAGGTCAATTTTCCTCGGTATTTAGACTTCATCAGTAATTGGATTCAATTGAAATAACTTTTACGAGTGAGCAATAAACTATAATTATACAAATCAAGCAAAGCGCTGACCACGCACATTACCTCTGCTCCCACGCACTAAACTGTCTCTCTTTGCTATGCTCTCGCATCGCTTCACTTTTCTCTCTTTCCCACTTCCACTCGCTCACTTTCTTAAAGTTTCTTTGAAGTTTCTGTGATGATGACTCTCAAATCTCAATGGTTTAGCTTTATATATACCCTTCTACGTTTTATAAAACTCGCCTTTTACCGCTTCTTGTATCATTTGAATTTTCCGTTATGGGTTCTTCTTTCTCTTCTTCTGCTTCGACCTCTTCCCGGCGAACCCCTTCTTTTATCATTAATTCTATTGCTGCTTCTTCTCCTTCTTCAACCTCTTCCCAGCAAAACCCTTCCGAGCCAAATAACCATGAAGTTTTTATTAATTTCAGGGGCAAAGACATCCGCGACGGTTTTCTCTCCGGCAAAGACAATACCGGACGGTTTTCTTTTCCCTCTCCTTTCTCTTTGAATCTTTGAGGAAAAAGGAAATCGATACCTTCAGGATGAAAACCTTCAAAAAGGAACTGAAATAACACCAGCCTCAGCAAACATTCAAGAATCATTATTTCATCAATGTCATATTCTCGCAAAACTATGCAGATCTCCATGGTGCTTGGACGAGCTATGTTGTGATAAATGAATGCAGAAAAAGTCGGGGCAAAATAGTTTTGCCAGTTTTTTACGTGTAGATCCAAGTGATGTTCAAGAGCTGAGGGGCCCTTCGCAAAAAGGGCACTTGCTAGGCTTTTAAAAGATCACAAGCGATAGTTTTTCACACAACCTGGGTGAATTGGTGCCAATGCTTTGAAAGACAAGACTTAAGTGCTTTTGTTTCGAATGAGATAAAGTAAAGTTATCATTTTCCCCTGTTTACTTTTCCATGTCTTTTTATTTTCTATTCATCAATAATAGATCAATATTGCGCACACGATAGATGGCTTTTAGTCACGATATCCACTCCTTTGAACTCTCACTTATTTTTATTTTCTTGTTAAAATTCTGTTTCGTTTTCTCCTATTCCTTCAATCATGGGTTTTACCCTCCCAGTTTTTTCCAAACACTTAAATTGATTCTATTCTAGAATATATAAGTTTTGGCTTACTTTTTATTTTTCATATGTGATCAGATGTGATCAGAAATGACCAAATGCTAGTTCAAAGAATCGTCAATCGTGTTTCAGAGATATTAAGTCATATGCCATCAAATGCTAGTTACCATGACAAGTTAGTTGGAATTGATTCGCGTGTCGAGGAAGTAATATCGTTATTGGATGTTGATGTAAATAACAGAAATTGGAGAATAGGAATTTGGGGAATGGCTGGTATTGGAAAGACAACTCTTGCTGGTATAGTGTTTTCGCAAATCAAGGTTAAATTTGATGCCCACTGCTTTGTTTCAAATGTCAAGGTACAGATAAGGAAGGAAACAGAAATTGTTTTACGGGATAAAATCATTCGTTCACTATTGGGAGACGAATATTTAAAAATAGGCTCACCACTTTTAGTATTAGATGATTGGATTATGAGAAGACTGCAAAAAAAGAAAGTTCTTATTGTTTTTGATGACGACGTTTGATGTGATTCAAACGATTTAATCTTTTAGCTGAACAGTAGTTTGTACCGTAAGGAAGTAAAATTAATCATTATAATAGTACAGATAGACAAGTACTTAAAAATGTTTGTCACGATGAACATATTTATCAGGTTGTTGAGGGATTAATTTATAAGGAAGCTCTTCAACTCTTTAGCTTGCACGCTTTCCTCAAAATGCAACCGAAAGAAGGTATGTTTTGCTATCCAAGGGAGGTGATACGGTTATACTCAAGGGGCAATCATTAGCACTAAAAGTTTTCGGCTCTAGCCTTTTATGGCAAGAGAGAAAGTACAGAAAGAGTACTGGGAGAGCCAGTTGCTCAAATTGAAAAGCATCCCGAACAAGAGAATTCAAGATGTTCTAAAAATAAGTTATGATGGGTTAGATAGCAATGAGCAGAGCATATTTCTGGATATTGCATGTTTGTTTTTGTGGGTAGAAAAACCTGGAATTGAAAAAATAATGGAAAGTTTTGGTTTCTTTGCGAGATGTGGAATAAGTAGTCTCATTGATAAATCTCTCCTCACCGATGATAAATATAATGGTAGAATAGAAATGCATAACTTACTACGACAAATGGGAAAGGAGATTGTGAATGAGGAATGCAAACAGCCTGGAGGACGTAGTAGGTTGTGGAATCCTGAGGACATTTCTCATGTATTCAAAACAAATACTGTAAGGGGCAAAATTTGCTACATTTTTCTTTTGTTATTTTTTTTATATTTGAATAAATGGAATTTGAACTTACCGCTCCACATTATTAGTGATGATTCAATAGCTTATATTTTTAAATATTTTATACTCAATTACCTACTTTCATTTGTTGTTCATTTAACAGGGAACTGATAAGATTGAATGCATTTCGCTTGAGATATCGAATGCTCGAGCTTTTGAGATAAGTTCCAAAGCTTTCGTGAAGATGCCTAATCTTAGATTCCTCAGAATCTATGGCTTTGAATTGATTTTGCCTGATGGTCCTGATTTTCTTCCAGAAGAGCTAAGATTTTTATGTTGGAACAGTTACCCTTTGAAATCGTTGCCGTTGAAGTTTTGCCCAAATAACCTTGTAGAACTTCACTTGCCTGACAGCCAACTCAAACAACTGTGGGATGGAGATAATAAGGTATATTTCCTGAACTTTAATATTTGTATTTGGTGTAAATGAACTTATAACACAATAAGATGTATAAAAATGGTTTGATGAGAGTGGCGGATCATGAAAGAATATCATAAAAAGAAATAATATATTCTAATCTTTTAATTAATGCTTATTCTTAAATGCATTTCTAAGGAAATAGATTTTAAAATTTTCTTAATGAATCATTTACAATTGTTTTATGTCCAATACATTTTTTACAAATTGGTCTTGATATAGTTAAAGGTCAAATCATTGAATTAAATGAGACTTTTTAATTTCATCTTAAATTCTAAATATTAGTGATGAGTAATAAAAATTTTGATCAACCGAGTAATAAAAAATTTTTGATTCAACCAATATATGGATTAGTCCAACTAAAAGAAATTCAAATGTTAGAATATACTATTGACTTATTATTCAGAAAGATGCTGTGTTCAATTTTACCCTTATAGCAACAAACAAAATAGAACTATCTCAGACATAAGTTTATTAATCTTCATACTTTAAATTGGGCTTATTTTAATTTTGGATATGTGTACAGAAATTATTTAAACATAAATTTTTAGATTATTTTTTTGGTCATTTTGATTAAATAAACAAATAAGTAAATAACTAATTTTGAATTGTAAAATAATTATTTTGTGAGTATTTGGCTTTATGTTTTAGTTATTGTTAATTTAAAATAAATAATAAGAATAGTAAAAATAAAAATAAAAATATAAATTATGCTTTTACTAAGATATCAGACTTGGTTACAAGGTACAACAATCAAGAAATTTTCCACCAAGCTACATTCCATGATCATTTTCTCAAAAAATATAGATAAGATAAAATTTTTGAGACATGGGGCCCCTGCTAGCCAGTAACCACCCCATCGTTCCTGTAACACCCTCCGCCCAGTCCCGAGAGACCCGACGGCGGATGCCACATTCGGTGCCGGAGACACCATCTTAACTTAACATATAAATCATAAAACTAAAATTATGAATTAGAAGTAATTGAGTATTCGAAGATTTGCATCAAGTCAATTCTCATAAAGCATGATGAGATTATATGAACATATACTGAGATCATATAGAGACACAGAAAAATGGGGCGTTACAGTTCCACCATTGGATGAGTTGTGAAATTATTTTATTTTTCGATAAATAACAAATATATATAAAACATGAAATTTTAATAATTCATATTCTTACTCTTTTTGTTGTTACAGCTTCTTAAAAATTTGAAAGTTATGCACCTCAGCGGGTCGCTCTCTTTATTGAGAATTTCGGATCCATTTCAAGCCCCAAACCTTGAGGTATTATGTTTGTCAAGTTGTAGCAGTTTAATTGAGATTCCTTCATCTCTTAAATATTCAACCAAGCTTGCTCAGCTAGACTTAGAGTACTGTGATAGTATTCGCAGTTTGCCAAGCTTCCTTCAGTTAGAAAATCTTGAGATGCTTGATCTTAATGGTTGCCGTAAACTTGAAGAATGTCCAGAGCTTCCTTGCAATTTAAGGGATTTAAATTTAAGTAAAACTGAAATAAAACAATTGCCTTCATCAATTGGAAATTGCTCTCAACTTGTTGAATTATCGTTAAGTGAGTGTACAGAGCTTGAAAATCTTCCAAACTGCATTGGCCAGTTACAATCTCTGAAGAAACTTGACGCAACAGGAAGTGGCATAAATTTTAATGGATGTAAAGGTTTGACGGTATGGCTTTTGTTGTCCGGTTTGAATAGCCTACAGAAGCTTTATCTAGGTAACTGTGGCATATCAGAAATTCCGGAGAGTATTGGATCATTAGTTTCATTGAAAGAGTTATATTTAGAAGGAAACGATTTCGAAAGCATTCCTGCAAGCATCAAACAACTTTCTCATTTGGAGACTCTTAGGTTGGATGATTGTAAGAGGCTTAGGGTTGGATGATTGTAAGAGGCTTAGATATTTGCCAGAGCTTCCAGGCACAAGGTCATTTTCTGCATCAAATTGCACCTCTTTAGAATTTGTATCATTTTCATCCTTTCCCAAAGCAGAAACATATGACCGGTGCATTGAACTTAATTTTGATAACTGCATCAAATTGGGTGATAATGTACGTCTTCAAATTAGGGAAGCTCTGTTCTCAGCACAGCAAGGCCTGATCGTATGTTTCGTTTCTCTAATATTAAATTAATAAAGAAGTCCTTATTTAAAAAAAAAAAAAAGTTAATTAAGATTTTCAATGATAAAAATCAATGGAATATTTGCCTAACTTTTGAATTTCATAATTAATTTATGCTTTGACAAGAGAAGAGAGATAAACATCGAACAAGTGGGTCTCATCTCTCAGTTCAGTTAGAAAGGCCTGATCGTATGTTGGGTTTTTATTTTGCCGTTGTTATTAATTTCCAAGATTTTGATTGTTTTGCATATCACACTAGTGGTATTGGGAACTTCGAAGATAAATCTGGATGTAATGAATATGACCTTCTTGACTTTATTTACTTTCATTTTTCAAAGTCCTTAATACGGTTGAGTTAGATTCAAAACATTTTCTCCCTTGGGTATTAATCTTTTGATCATGAATCATGAACGGAATTTCACTCGAGTCTCATTGCGGGTTAATCATTTCTCTGTAAATTATTCCCTCGAAACAGAAGACAGTAGTGTGAGGGTGATCAATTGTGGCATTCATCCTATATATCGGGAAGAATATAGGAAAGCGGAAAGAAGGAATGAAAGAAGGAAAGAACCGGACAAGGATATAGTAGAGGCGGCAAACACTGAATTATGGGAGAAGAATTCAAGACAAAGACTCTGATTAAGGTCAATTAGTATGGCAAATGGAAATTAAAAATAGGTAAAGGAATTTCGTGTGTTTTACTTTGGGATTTTAGTTGACTTCAGTTTTCAATTCACACAATCACAGTAGTGGTGAGAATCAGCTTATTATTGGCTGTTACTTGTGTTACTTGGTTATTAGCACTCGTAATAGCTAATCTATTTCTAAGTTTCTGCAGTTGTACGTTGGCATTGTATCTTAAGGGCTTGTAGTTATCCTAAATGCTTGTAATTATTTGCTAGTTTGGAGTTTTGGAGGGAAGTATAGATTGGTCTTTAAAAGATGTTTGCTTGGTTTCAATTGATCTTTAAAACAAATTTTGTAAATTGGTTCAATTATATCTGCAACTCACATAAATATTTTCTTTGGATCTGTGATGCTATATCACCCTATCAAAAAAAAAAAAAAAAAAAAAAAAAAAAATACTCAAGCTCTATTGTTTTTCTTTCTTCTTATATTTATTTATTTATTTATTTAATGGTTTCAAAGTTTCAATACATAGAATAACATTATGAACTATATAATATAATACCCTCTTTAATTCATTAAATTATAAAAAATTTTATAATAAGATTGATAAAATCATACTTGATTAACATTTTTATGAAATTTTAAAAATATTTTTACATCTAAAAATATTTCTTATTTAGGAACTATTTTCATTCATGCGAGTCACTTTTTATAATTTCATGTGATTTCATATGAAACTATGGAGTGCATCATTTCCATATGCACGAAGTATATTAAATAATTCCTCTAAAAGTTATGCTCGTATACAAGTTGAAACTTCATTATTTGAAATATGAGATTATTTTTAATGAGTTCATTCTAATTACCTATATTAATATGAGGGTGAAAAATACTTATCACCAAGAGCATAATTCACAATAAATGAAATTATTCATAGGACTAGCAAATAGAGTGCAGCTCGTGAAATATGAAAGGAGATTAAATTTGAATTCTAGTGAATACTTGCAATCCACTAATTGATGTTCGATCTCGAAATTGAATAGCATAGCAATTAAACTCGGTCCACTCTTTTACTAAAAGGATTGAGCTGAATTACATCCAAAACCAAATCTTAGAAGGCCTAATCTTAGATGAGAATGGAAGACCTAATCAATCGAATGATAAATATCACACGCTTGGCCATAATCACTATCCCCAAACAACCATTAAGGAAAACGTTTTAGCTATTATAAATTAGACCCCCAAAGCGAAAGCGCAAAATGGCTCCACCTCTCCAAAACCAGATAAAGAATGTTCGTCTAAAAAGAAAATTTTATCTTGTTTCAAGATGTCATTTTACTACATACAAACACTCTCAAAGATGAGGTAAATGTGGACTTGGAAGCTAATTTAATCAAAACATGTAGCTTAAAGTACACTGGTGAGATCATAGAACTGAGAATACCTATGGAAAGCCAAAGAACAGTAAAATATGATTGGATTGATGGGAAGACAATGTAAAAAAGTAACTTCCTGAATGCCCACTTAGAGGATTTAATATCTAGTGAGCTCGGGTCATCTTTACTTTTGGCATAGCTTTCTTCATCTGACGGGCACGCTCTTTTGCCTCTCTCTTGCGAATAGCTTCTGCACTGAGCTTTGCTTCAGCCTCCTCTGGCATCTTCTTCTTCTCTGCCTTCTTTCTCTGCAAGGCTTCTTGTAGCGCCCAATTAGATCAATGTAATAAGGAATAAGCGCAACCAATCTAGTCGTATCAGCCATGTTACTGGCATCAGGAAGTGCAAACTTAAACAAGAGCATCTTCTTGTGCACTCCGAGGTGTTCATCAGAAAAATGCATGGAGATGAAACCCTTGCCATATTTCTCAAAAGCTTTTTCACCAAAAACCTGCAGAATTTCAGATTCACTTCATATTGTAAGTTCTTCATTAAAGCAAACTATAACATCATTTCTGACCACTGAGTTAAATTGCCATGGGAAGTCCTCATGAATGAACTTAAGGCAGGAGAAGGGTTAATGTAATGAAAATAACTCTGTATCATGTCACGTAAACCTAAAATAAGAAACAATATATTAGTCAATGATACTAATAACGGCAATAGGAATGGAACCAGCTAACAAGATAATTATACAGGTTTCCCATATCAAAACCAACAATAAGTCGTGTCAAATATACAGCTCAGTCCTAACTTTCGACAAACAGGACAAACAAGTTCTCTGCCAACAACGTTCATCTAAATGTTGATATAAGAAGCTCATATTTAGAAAAATGCTACATGCTCCTGTCTTTTTCTTAATAAGAAAAAGCAAATCATGGCGTAGTCTATATCAAAATTGTGTATTGCATTTATTTTGTTGTGGAAAGGAGATGGTGCATGTTAGGTTCAAGAATGACTCAATCTTTTGTTTTATTGGGTCAGAAACTGAGCATGGAACAACAAACAAATTCAAGCCAGTCACAGTGTAAGAGAACCAGTAAACTATAGCTCTATTTCGTCCTCTAGTCTCTCTGTACTCTGGAGATCATCACAACAACTCAATACTAGGATGCAAAATAAAAGTCCATTCCATCTTTTTAAAGCATAGATCTAATTAACAACTCCAAATACGGACCAAGATATGTGTGGCTCTTCATGCTCGGTCACTGAACCACTTATAAAAAAGAAGTTGCCTAGGGCAGGAGAAAATGGCAAAAATGTGGAGGTTATATTCTAATCAACTTTTCAGTCCTTCCCAAACTTGTGGCACACAAACAGATTTCTATTCACTTCCCTAAACATCCCGAAGAGCAGTTACCTAGGGCCTCTCTTCACAATAAATCCCCAAAACAAAACATTCTATGACATCTAAAGATTTAAGTAATTTTTTCATTGTCAAAGCCATGCATGAATTCTGTTTAACTCGCTGCATGTATCAACAACAAGCCAAGACTATCCTAGCAAAATAACTGAAAAAAGGGGAGGCAATGCTAAATAATCATTTTTGATAAGCAAGCACTTCGTCAAAGAAGAAATAGTTCCTAATCGCAAAGGTTCCAGTGCCTTTCCATAGAATATAAGAAGATACTAATTGCAAAGAAAGTGGAATTTTCCACAATAATAGCAAAGCACTCCATGCTAGATTCATAAACAATGCTCTACATTAATCAACAAGGTGCGCCTAGCATAAACATTAAAAAAAAGGAATGAGACAGCTTCACTGGATAATAAGAATAAAATCACCTTAGCTCTTATATACAATGTTATCTAATCAAAATAGCCACAAAACTAAGTCATTCTTATTAAATTTCAAATTCTATCGCATTCCTCGTGCAGGACCACAGTTTCCAAGAAACACATGGCGTCTCTCTCCTGTAAGCCAAAATTGCCTAGCAAAGATAGTGCATGTAATCCAAGGCAAGACTCCTATGGCATTACTGAGGATCTAATAGAAGAGATATTCAATAGAACCTCAAATACAAATTTATTTCGCTCTAAAAATTTATTTGGCCTAAAAAATAATCGGCTAACAAGCATGATTCAGTAAATTAGAACATAATCATTTCAAACAGGGGCAAGATATTTAAGTGGTCAAGATAAAAAAGTATAACTAAACACTCAAAAAGAAACTAGAAACTGAAGTATGGACTATGGAGTATTAAACTTTGAACTGAGCTGCTTAAAAGAGTGGGAATAACAACCCCCCCAGTGAAAGCATAATCACAGCTTATTAAACCATATATAAGATACTAACCAGTCAATAGGACATCAACCAAAAAGAATAGACCAGGACAAGGCTTTACAGATAACAGGCTACAGATAAAAGCATCAAAATACATCACCAAAAAAAAAAAAAAAAAATTCAACTGTGCAAAACATGAGATCAATTTAATAATCTAATTTAAGAATTTGGTGAGTGCCTTTCTATATATATGTCGAGTTATTTCCATATGTTGGATGAAATAAGAAATTTTGCTATGAATAAATTGAAGGGAGATGGAAAAGGGGACTTTTGTCTATATCATAAATTTGCTCTGGTATTAACAATTGTTGCTGTGAAAATAACACCACCCATTTTAAATTTGTTTATATTTAATGAGTCATCATTATCATTAATCAATAAAAATTATTAAAAAATATGTGAAATTATGCAAAAA